GGTTTGGTGCTATCCTAGCACAACAATTGGTATCAGAGCACTAGTTGCTCTTGGGTACTGTTTAGTTGCCAAAGATGTCAGACGGGCAAGATGAGAATCCTTTTGGAAGCAGCTCCGGGTTTGCAAGAACTACGGTGCAAAATGCAAAGTTCGAAGTGGAAAAGTTTGATGGCACAAACAACTTCAGGATGTGGCAATGTGAGGTCAAAGATGTGTTGGCTCAACAAGATCTACTTGCCGCTTTGGGAGAGAAGCCGGAAGCTATGTCGAAGCCGGAATGGGAGAAATTAAATTTGTGGGCTTGCTCTTCAATTCGGTTGTGCCTTGCAAAAACTCAGAAGTATTTTGTGATGCGGGAGACGGTAGCAAGTGTGTTGTGGCAAAAATTGGAAGACAAGTATATGACGAAGAGGGCAAAGAACCGGCTACACTTGAAGAAAAAACTCTACTGCTTCCAATACAAAGAAGGTACAAAAATGATTAGACACCTTGATGCTTTTAATAAGTTGATTGCCGACTTGTTAAATTTAGATGAGGATATTAAGGATGAAGACAAGGCCTTAATATTGTTGAATTCCTTACCGGACTCTTATGAGCATTTTGTTACCACTATTATGCATGGTAAAGAAACTGTGAAATTTGAAGATGTGTCAAATGCCTTGATGAATTATGAAATGAGGCATAGAGACAAAAATCATGATAGTACCTCTGAAGCTTTATTTGTTAGAGGTAGATCATCGGAGATAAGGTCCTCTACTAGTAGGAAAAAATCACAGTCTCGACCTAGAGGAAACTCTAAAGGTAGAAAACCTTTGGAAAGGGATGAATGTGCCTTTTGTCGTAATAAGGGCCATTGGAAGAAAGATTGTCCTAAGTTGAAGGCCAAAGGAAAAGAAAGTTCTGAAGCCAATGTTGCTGAGGTTGAAACAGATTTTGTTGATTTTGCTTTAACCACTTCATCATCATTTAATTGTGCCACTAAATGGGTGTTAGATACGGGTTGTACTCATCATATGACTCCTCACAAGGATTGGTTTTCAAGCTTGAAAGAGTTTGATGGTGGCGTTGTGTTCATGGGAGATGACAATCCTTGCACAACAAAAGGGATTGGTACAGTTCGTTTGAAGTTGCATGATGGCCTGGTTAAAGAGTTGACAGGTGTTCGGTATGTACCGAATTTGAAGAAAAATCTTATTTCTTTGGGTACTTTGGAATCCAAGGGCTTCAGGTTTCATTCAGATGGACAGACATTGAAAGTTACTTATGGTGCACTTGTTGTGATGAAAGCTCCTCGATGTGGCCATTTGTATATATTGCAAGGAAGCACTGTGACAGGTGAAGCATCTGTAGTCTCAGAAAATATGGGCACATCCGATTCTGATACTACCAGACTGTGGCATATGAGATTAGGCCATGCCGGTGAGAAAGCTCTACAAGGGCTTGTGAAACAAGGTCTTCTAAAAGGTGCCACGACTTGTAAGCTTGATTTCTGCGAGCATTGTGTCTTGGGAAAGCAAACTAGAGTGAAGTTTGGTACTGCTGTACATCAGACGAAGGACATTCTTGATTATGTGCATTCAGATGTTTGGGGTCTTACAAAGACTCCATCTTTGAATGGTAGACATTGGTTCGTGACATTTGTTGATGATTATTCAAAAAGGTCTTGGGTCTACACTATGAAGCACAAGAGTGAGGTGTTAAGCATTTTCTTGGGTTGGAAGAAAATGGTTGAGAACCAGACTGGGAGAAAGATTAAGATTTTGAGATCGGATAATGGTGGTGAATACACATCCGATCCTTTCTCTAAAGTTTGCAAAGAGGAAGGAATTGTGAGACATTTCAGTGTTCGGGAACTCCACAACAAAATAGAGTTGCAGAAAGATTGAATCGAACCTTGCTTGAGAAGGTTAGATGTATGTTGTCTCAGTCGGGTTTAAGCAAGTCATTTTGGGCAGAGGCAGTTAATTATGCATGTCACATTATCAACCGATTACCCTCAGCTGCTGTTCAAGGTAAGACACCAATGGAGGTATGGACTGGAAAACCTTCTACTGATTATGATTATATTCATATTTTTGGTTCGCCTGCTTATTTTCATGTAACTGAAAATAAACTTGATCCTAGAGCCAAAAATGCTATCTTTCTTGGTTTTAGTAGTGGTGTCAAAGGTTACCGGTTGTGGTGCCCAGAGATGAAGAAACTTGTAATCAGCAGAGATGTGACATTTGATGAAGAAAATATGTACAAAGACTCTGAGAATAATGTGAAAGATGTCCAACAGGTGGAGCTTGAGAAAGTTGCCTCTGGTACTTCAAATCCTATTTCCGCTGATGTCGAAGCCACTACAAGTGAAGAAGTTGGAGACCATGAGGATGTTGAAGAAGTTGAACTTGAAGATTCTATTCAAGTTGAAGAGCAAGTTTCACCTCAAGAGTCTATTGCCAAGAACAGAGGAAAAAGACAAATTACCAAGCCAGCTCGGTATAGTGACTATGTTGCTTTTGCTCTTCCTATTATCATTGATGATATTCCATCCAATTTCGAGGAAGCCATTGAGAGTGAGGAGAAGGAGAGGTGGTGCAATGTCATGGGTGATGAGATGAATTCTCTCTTGAAGAACAAGACTTGGGAGTTAGCTAAATTGCCTAAGGGCAAGAAAGCTATCGGTTGCAAATGGGTGTATGCCAAGAAGGAAGATGCTAATGAAAAAAGCAATGTGAGATTCAAAGCAAGATTAGTTGCTAAAGGGTATGCACAAAAGAAGGGCATTGACTACAATGAAATATTTTCTCCGGTTGTGAAGCACTCCTCAATTCGTATTATGTTAGCTCTTGTTGCACAATATGATCTTGAGCTTGTGCAACTTGATGTGAAGACGGCTTTCCTACATGGTGATTTGAATGAAGAGATTTATATGTGTCAACCGGATGGGTATATAGTGAAAGGGAAGGAGAACTTGTTTTGCAAATTGAAGAAATCACTATATGGCTTGAAGCAATCTCCAAGACAATGATATTTGAGGTTTGATAAATTTATGAGAGGCCAAAATTATTCTAGAAGTCAATATGATCATTGTGTGTACTTCAAGAAGTTACAAGATGGGTCTTTCATTTATTTGTTGATATATGTTGATGATATGTTGATTGCCTCAAAGAATGTTGAAGAGATTGAAAAATTGAAGAGATTGAAAAATTGAAGAAGCAAATGAAGAATGAGTTTGAGATGAAGGATCTTGGTGAAGTGAAGAAGATCCTTGTCATGGAGATCACTAGAGATAGAGAGAAGGGTTTGGTCAGTTTGAATCAAAGACAATATCTTGAAAAGTTGATTCGGAAATTTGGAGTTCATGATTCAACCAAACCAGTTAGTACCCCTTTGGCTCCTCATTTTAAATTGAGTTCTTTACAGTGTCCTAAAACTGATAAAGAGAAGCTGCAAATGAAAATATACCATATGCAAATTTGGTTGGTAATTTGATGTATGCAATGGTATGCTCTAGACCGGATATTGCTCATGCAGTTGGCATGGTGAGTTGATATATGCATAATCCAGGTAAAGAGCATTGGCAAGCAGCTAAGTGGATATTGAAGTATCTCCATGGTACTCGAGACATTGGTTTATGCTTTGAGAGAGATGACTCTGGTATTGGTCATTTTGCAGTTGGTTATGTTGATTCAGATTATGCAGGTGATCTGGATGGAAGAAAGTTTACTACAGGCTATGTGTTTACTATGGCTAAAGGGCCAGTTTGTTGGAGGTCCATTTTGCAGTCGTCTGTTGCCTTGTCTACTACAGAGGCTGAATATATGGCAGTTGCTGAAGTTATAAAGGAGGTCATTTGGATACATGGGCTGATTAGAGATTTGGGGGTCGATCAGAAGCAGGTGGAGATACATTGTGATAGTCAGAGTGCCATTTATTTGGCTAAGTATCAGGTTCATCATGCGAGGACCAAGCACATAGATGTGCGTTATCACTTTGTTCGTGAAATTGTTGGTGAAGGGGAAATCATTCTCCAGAAGATTTCAACTAAAGACAACCCCGCTGATATGTTGACTAAGGTTGTTGGTGTAGCCAAGTTTGTTCATTGCTTGAACTTGGCTCACATTTTGCCTATATAAAGAAGGCGTTGAGCAGTAGGAGTTTTGGAGCATTTTGGCTTGTCATGGCGCTTTCGGAACTTGGCCAAGGTGGAGATTGTTGGAGTATGTGGCCAAGTGGCCAAATAAGTCATTCACTTTCGGCTATTATAAAATTATAAAGGAAAGGAAAAAGGTGGACAACATCATTCCTTGTTTTGGGGAGAAAAAAAGGGGAAAAGGCAACTTTCTCTTCTACACCCGTGGGTTTTGGTCCTTTATGTTTTGGTGGTTGCCTTTGCAGCCTAATAATAGAGAAGAGAAAGAGATAGAAAGCTACGGAGGGTGAGTAGAAAGTGTGGAGCTCATTTTATGTTTTGAGCTGAATACAGAGAGAATAGAGCAGCAGGAAAAGAGAGTTGCAGCTCCTCTTTGAAGAGAAGAAGAAAGTGCTCATCTCTTTGGTTAGTAATCATCCACCAAAGTAGTTGTTGTTGTAATAGCTTTGAACTATATGTGTAGAGAAGAAATTATTCATTATATTTCTTTCTCTATTTGTTTCTTTGGTGTGTGAGAGTTATTGGGTGTATTGGGTTTATGGGTTGTGAGATTGTCAACACTTTGTAAACTCCCATTTGGTTGATAGTGGATTATTGGGTGAGCTCCTATTGCTCCGAGGACGTACTCCAGTTATACTGACTGTAGAGGAACCTCGTTAAAATCTTGGTGATATTTTCTCTATATTGTTCTTGCATTTCATTTGATATATTTTCTGTGGGTTAGCTTAATTTGGTTCCGCGTGGTTTAGTGCTATCCTAGCACAACAGGGGTGGGTATAATACTATTAAAAAAAACATTATGGAACTAATATAAAGCTTAACCGAGGAAGTGGAAATACACGTGGAGATGCTGGAGGGAGAGTCTTGAGGACTTGCTTTTTAGGCGAGTGTTACTAGCATTTCTCCAATCTTTTTACCCGGGCTGCTACTATTCGTTTCAGAAAAAGCCAGTCGTCAAAATCCGACCCGGTTAGACGGGTCTCCAAAGCTTAAAACCCTAGGACCCGACATCTACCAAATCAGAGAGATTGCGGGTAAGTATTCGACCCAAAAGAGCGATGTATTACATAAATAATTATGTGCTGGTCTTGTGATTTGTTACAGTGAAATTAGGGTTTTCGATTTCAATTTCGGTTTGTAATTCGTGGTGGGGATTATTGCAGGTGAAAGAAAATGAGGGGTAGGATCTATAGTTACGGCCCTTTGCCGCCGAGGGGTTACGGCAGGCGACGCCGTAGCCCTAGCCCGAGAGGTCGCTATGGAGGTCGTGGTAGGGATCTTCCCACCAGTCTCTTGGTCCGCAATCTTCGCCATGACTGCAGGTATTTTTATCTAATTCTTTATTAAGTTGTAATTATTAAGTATTTCATAACTTTTGTGTAATTAATTTTGTTTCTTTTTTGTTTTGAGAAAAATTAATTTTGTTTCTTGAAAGATATGGATTGGCGGAAAATAATTGTAAATTCTTAAAATTTATGACTGATAGATTAAGATTGTGGATTTAGGTGTTTATTTTTTAGGTTGTTAGAAGTTTTCATCATTTCTCAAAACATGTCTTGAGAACTTGTTTGGTATGAGATTCAAAGTTGTTTTCAAATCTCAACAATAAAAAAAGAAAAGAAAAAAACCCTACAGCACCCCGGTGGAGTCGGGAACTTGTAGGTTCAATCGGACGGACAGATGGATCCAAATAGAGGGGTCGGAGGATAGGGTAGCTGACATATGAGAGAGAGCATTGGAGGAGAGAGAAGAACTGAGGGGAGGACACAGAGAAGATAGAAATAGAGCTAGCAGAGAAGATCCGGAGTGAGGGGAGAGGAGAGAGAAAGCAGTTGGCTTTGAGTTCAAAAACCCTAAAAGTTCAATTTTGTGTTTTCAAGAAGTAGGCCAATTTTGAGTTAGTTTTGGATCCAGTTTTTGAAAACAGTCCTACCAAACAAGTATTCAAATTTCAAGGTGTAAAACTATGGGTTTTTGTTATTAAAGATTTGTAAGGAATGTTTGAGGTTGTATTGTTCTTGATTTGAGCTAGAAGTTCCACGCGTGTGAATTTTGTCGGTTGTTTTGGTTTTGATCCTGAGTGTTTGTTGAAGTGCACTTGTTTTTGTTTGTTTTTTATTTAGTTATCTTCAACTGCTTTATTGGAATTTGGTTGTTTTATTGAAAGTGTTGAAGACACCCATGAAGTAATAAGAGTACTGTGTTGAAGACAAGAATGAAGTAACAAGAGTGTTTATTCAAGAGATCAATGAAGTAAGTAATTGTTGAAGATGGTTTTAGTATACACGAAGATTTTGAAGAAAGTTGTTCTTAGTGTACACGAAGATTTTGAAGAAAGTTGGGTTGAAAACATTGAGAAGAAGTTGAAGTGTTGAAGAATTTCAACTCAATTTATCTTTGACTCCAACAAGGTTAGCAGCCATTGATGTTTTCACTTGAATTGTATAAAGTGTGTGGCAATTATTTGTGCCTATCATGCTGACTAGAGCTTCGACCATGTATGAATTTTCCAGAATACAAGATGTAGTTTCGGTAACATTAGTATAGTTAATGCAATTATATGGGTTTCCTTCTTGTGTAGCTTATTTTCTTGTTATACTTAATGCTATTATATGGTGCAGGGAGCCACGTGGCTTTGGATTTGTTTAGTTTGTAAGGTTTTGTCCCTTATAGAAAGTGATTGGAGCAATGAACCTTGGAAAATAAAATTGGGCTTACCCTTGGGGTTGAGCTTTGGGATGTGCTAATTAATATATAATTAATTATCAAAAGATGGATCTTCGGACTCTAATAATTAAATACTTTAATTAATTATTTTCGGATTTAATTAATTAATTTTTTATTTTATCAACACTCATCCTTTTAGATGAAGTTTGAAGTGTGAAAGAACGCAGAAAGAAAACACCCATGAGAAGATGTCTCCCAACAGATGCATCCCTTCCTCGTACTTAGGGGTGGAAAAAATTCCCGAAAATCCCGAACCGAACCGAAAAAATCCCGATCCCAAACCAAAAATTTTCCAAACCAAAATTCCTGAAATTTTCGGGATGCTATGCAACCTGGAATGCCCTACACCTTGCATAGTTTTCATGTTCTGTTTAATATTCATTTAGATTTATTATTGTTGTTGCCATGGCTAATGATTTTAGAAAGTTTGATTCTTTTGTCTCTCAACAGATTGCAAAAAATGTTTAATTAATTTGAATTTTGACTCTGATAAAAACAATCAGGCATGCCAGTTTTAGATTAAATGGTAGTGTGAATGAAATGACATTCCTAGTATGAATGTGTTCTTGAATTATATATTTGAAAAACAATTCATAATTTCATATTTCAATTTGGGATTCCCGATTTGTTCCGAAATCCCGAAAATTTGGTTTGGGATTGGTCTTTAAATTCCCTTCCCGAAAAATTTCGGTTTGGGATTCGGGATACTAGTTTCGGTATGGTATCCCATACCGAACCACACCTACTCATACCTGTTGTGAACATGCATAATCATATTATATATTAATCCATCTGCATGATATTTAGAACACAGAAAATATCTAATTCTTCTTCTACATTTCTAAACCTTTTTACTGAGAGAACCACATAAAAATTTGCCAGAAGTTAAGTTTTTCGGTGCTAGAATTCTAATTTGATCGTTGAATTCTGGTGAAGCAAACGTCCGTAGAATTACAAGCACTAAGTAGGAACAAAATTTCTGTTTATTAAGGCTACTCGTTGCAATGACGTGACACATGGGCAAATTCCACCTCCTGCACATGGAAAACCCAAACTTTTCTTGCACATGAGCTGCTCAATACTTCAGATTTAATTAAGGGACCTCTATATCTTCCTAATTAAACGTTTCCTAATTGGTTCCGCATATTCGGTGACTCCCAACGTATGACAAAGATGTTCATGGCACATGTACACAAGTCTTTATCAAATATGGCAAAAAATCGACCCGTAATTTTAATAGTATCAGTTTTTATATATAAAAAAATGTCATAGGTAGGCAAAAAGCCATCTCAATCGACACAAATATTCTTTAGTATAAAAGCAATGTTTTGGTTATATATGAGTCTTCGGTTGTAATTGATTTCATTGACATTTGGGTATTTTTACAGAAATAGAATAGTATGATTTCTTCTTGTTTTGACATACATTTCGTCACACCAGTAAAAAAGTAAAATAAAATACGAGATAAGCAAACAAAAAACAGCAAGGGAAAGGTAGGTTACGTTTAACCCGATATGTTGAAAACAACTGATCAATTTAAGGAGTCATGCTTCTACATGCGGTATGAACTCTACAACCAAACTATATTCGTAAGAACGTAACCCGCAACTGTTGGTATATGGTCCAGCCCATGATCAATGTTCTAGATTATTCTAGTAAGCAAGAGAGATGGCTGGAGCATGCTAGACAATTCTAGCATGTTATTAAGTTGATGGAAGAAGCTAGAGAGTACTAGCTTCCTTGGTTGCAAATGGAAAGATCTAGAAGCCACACTTTTGTGGCTAGTCTAGATCTTTCTATGCTAGAGGTTTGAAGAATACACTAGAAACTAGTAGAATGCCAAACCCTCACCTATAAATATGGGTGTGATGTTGTAGTGAACCAACAACAAATCAAGAGAAGAGTGAGTAGCAAAGGATCAAGTCCAAAGCTAGAGTTCCACTCCAAGAGTGAGAGTGAGAGTGTTCCACTACACATTGTGTGAGTGAAGTTTAGAGTGATAGAAAGTGTGTGTTATACTTTCTTGTATCCATCAAGCCTTGTCTTTGGCTTGGTAAGACTACTCTTGTTGTATTCATCTTTTTCATATAGTGAAGATTGATCCTTGTTTGGTGGACGTAGGCATAAATTGCCGAACCACATAAATTCTTGGCGTCCATTTTCTACTTTACCTTGTGCATTCTCTATCTTGTAGTACCGACATTCCTAACAAGTGGTATCAGAGCCCGGTTGGCTCGTACTGCGAGATGGAAGGAAGTGGCACTATGATCAAACTCACCAACTCCAATTGGGTAACATGGAAGCCAAGGATGGAGGACATTCTCTATTGCAAGGATCTGCATGAGCCAATTGAAGGAGATGCCGCTAAGCCAGAGAGCATGTCCGATGCCGAGTGGAAGAAGATGAATCGCAAGGCTATTGGCACAATTAGACAATGGGTGGACGATAGTGTTTTTCACCATGTGTCTAATGAAACCAATGCTCGCGAGTTTTGGACAAAGCTTGAGTCCTTGTTCGAGAAGAAAACTCCAGCTAAGAAAGCCTTCTTGATCAAAGAGCTCATCAATGTGAAGTACAAGGATGGTTTAAGTGTAGCAGAACACTTGAACAATTTCCAGAATATCATCAACCAGTTGGCTACTATGAAAATGACGATCGAGGACGAGCTACAAGCGCTCTTGTTACTTGGATCCTTGCCAGACAGTTGGGAGGTTGGAGTGGGAGACCTTTGTGGTGAGTATAAGTAACTCTGCTTCTAATGGTGTTCTTACCCTTGATAATGTTAAAAATAGCATGCTCAATGAAGAAACAAGGAGAAAGACTTCTGGCACAGATAGCAGCCAAGTATTTGTCACAGAGAACCGCGGAAGAAGCAAGAGTAGAGGACCTAGAGGTCATGGCAGGAGTCCTAGCCGATCCAAGTCAAGGTTCAGGGGTGCATGCCACCATTGTGGCAAAGAAGGCCATATGAAGAAAAATTGTCGAGTTTGGAAGAGAGAGCAAAGGGAAGGAAACAATCAGAAGAAAGATGATACTGGCAATACCACTGCTGTCATATGTGGTGATGTACCAGAAATATTGTCTGTTGGTGAATGTCTGCATATGGGCAACTCTGACAGAGACATTGAATGGATCTTTGACAATGGAGCTTCCTCCATGCTACGTCTAAACGGGAGTTCTTCAGTACATACAAAGAAGGTGACTTTGGCATAGTGAAGATGGGGAATGAAAGCTATTCCAAAATTCTTAGAATTGGTGATATACGTCTAAGAACTAATCTCGGCTGCCAATTGATGTTGAAAGATGTGAGACATATTCCTGATATACGTCTCAATCTGATATCCATCGGTACCCTTGATCGACAAGGATATTATCACCATATTGGCGAAGGAAAATTGAAGCTTACTAAAGGCTTAATGGTGGTAGCAAGAGCACGACTTTGTTGTACGTTGTACCGGTCAAATGCCAAGGTTTTGAAAGGTGAGTTGAATGCTGTGGAGGACTCATCTCTAGACTTGTGGCATAAGAGGCTAGGTCACATGAGCGAGAAAGGCCTACAGGTTTTGGCAAAGAAGTCTCACATTCCCTTTGCCAAAGGTACGTCGTTAAACTCTTGTGAGCACTGTTTATTAGGAAAACAAAGAAGAATTAGTTTTTCGATTCCATCTACAAGGAAAGGAAATTTGTTAGATCTTGTTTATTCAGATGTGTGTGGTCCCATGGAAGTCGAGTCACTCGGAAGAAATAAATATTTTGTTACATATATTGATGATGCTTCACGAAAGGTTTGGGTGTATTTGTTGAAATCCAAAGACCAGGTGTTTCAGACATTCCAGGAGTTCCATGCCATGGTGGAGAGGGAAATTGGGAAACCTCTTAAGTGCCTTCGTAGCGACAACGGCGGCGAGTACACATCTCACCAGTTTAGAGAGTATTGTGTGAAACATGGCATACGTCATGAGAAGACAGTTCCTGGAACTCCACAACATAATGGTGTTGCTGAAAGAATGAACCGAACCATCATGGAGAAAGTCAGGTGTATGCTGAGGACTGCAAAGTTATCTAAGCAGTTCTGGGGTGAAGCTGTAAGGACAGCCTGCTATTTGATTAACCGATCTCCATCAGTACCATTAGGTCTTGATGTTCCAGAGAGAGTATGGACTGGTAATGATGTGTCTTACTCTCATCTGAAGGTGTTTGGTTGCAAAGCTTTTGTGCATGTGCCCAAAGAGCAGAGATCGAAGTTAGACTACAAAGCTACACCGTGCATCTTTCTTGGTTATGGCGGTGAAGATTTTGGTTACAGATTATGGGACCCATACCAGAAGAAGTTTATCCGAAGTAGAGACGTGGTCTTTTATGAAGATCAAACAATTGGGGATTCGGATAAAGAGGCACAACCAGATGGCGCAGTCAGAGGAGTTGATCCATTAGCTTCAGATGAAGAAAGTCACGATGACATCCCTGAAGCAACTGCCAATGAAGTGCCTGCAGAATCAGATAATGCTGATCAAGAGGAGCCTGATCAAGATGTGCCAGACCATGAGATTGCTGATCAGGGGGAGCCTAGTCAAGAAGAGCAGATTCAAGGAGAATCCAATCAGGGGGAGACTCTAGCCCCGCAAGAGAATGAAGATCAGGTCAGAAGATCCAGCAGAAGTCGAAGACCGTCTACCAAGTATTCTTCATCAGAGTATATCATGTTGACTAATTATGGAGAGCCCGAAACTTATGAGGAGGCCAGAGCTCATAACGACAGTGATAAATGGATGAAGGCAATGGAGTCAGAGATGGATTCCTTATTAAAGAATAATACCTATGAGCTGGTGGAGCTTCCAAAGGGCAGAAAAGCATTGAAAAAACAAGTGGGTGTTCAAATTGAAAAAATGACGACAACATGACAAGGTACAAGGCTCGTTTGGTTGTCAAAGGTTTTGGTCAAAAGAAAGGAGTTGACTTTGATGAGATTTTCTCACCGGTGGTGAAGATGACTTCCATTCGAGTTATCCTTGGTATGGCAGCAAGCATGGATCTTGAGCTCGAGCAGTTAGACGTTAAAAACTGCATTTCTCCACGGTAACTTAGAAGAGGAGATATATATGGAGCAACCCAAAGGCTTTGAAGTCAAGGGTAAAGAAACTTTGGTGGTGTGCAAGCTCAAGAAAAGCTTATATGGTCTTAAGCAGGCTCCGAGACAGTGGAATAAGAAGTTCAACTTATTCATGGTGAGTAATGGGTACAAGAGAACTCATGCTGACTCTTGTGTCTATATCAAACAATTTTCTGGAGGTAAATTCATCATTTTGTTGCTTTATGTTGATGACATGTTGATTGTCGGTCAAGATGCTTTTATGATTAAAAAGCTCAAAGAAGAGTTATCTAAGTCCTTTGACATGAAGGACTTAGGGCCAGCCAAGCAGATTTTGGGCATGGAGATAATTCGTGACAGAAAATCCAAGAAGTTGTGGCTGTCACAAGAAAAGTATGTTGAACGGGTGCTTGAAAGGTTCAACATGAAAGCAGCCAAATCGGTAAGCTCACCTTTAGCCAATCATATCAAGTTGAGCAAAGAGTCGTGTCCAAAAACATATGAAGAAAAGGAGAAAATGGCAGTTGTTCCCTACTCTTCAGCAGTAGGAAGTATCATGTATGCAATGGTGTGCACACGGCCAGATATTGCTCATGCAGTAGGTGTGGTGAGCAGGTTTCTCTCTAATCCAGGGAAAGACCATTGGGAAGCTGTTAAGTGGATTCTCAGATATTTGAAGGGGACTTCTAAGATGTGCTTGTGCTTTGGCGGTTCCAAACCAATCTTGGAAGGATTTACAGATGCTGACATGGGAGGTGACCTGGATGGTAGAAAATCTACGTCTGGGTACTTGTTTACTTTTGCAGGGGGAGCCGTGTCTTGGCAATCCAAGTTGCAAAAGTGTGTTGCTTTGTCTACAACCGAGGCTGAATACATAGCTGCTACAGAAGCATGCAAGGAGTTGTTGTGGCTGAAGCGGTTTCTCCAAGAGTTGGGTTTGAAGCAAAGTGATTATGGCGTTTATTGTGATAGTCAGAGTGCTCTGGATTTGAGCAAGAACACTGCATACCATTCACGCACCAAGCACATTGATATTCGTTATCACTGGATTAGAGATGTTATCGAGAACAAGATGCTACAGCTGAAGAAGATTCATACCGATAATAATTCTTCAGACATGTTGACAAAGGTGGTCACAAAATCAAAGTTGGAATTCTGCATTAAGGCTGCTGGGATGGACTCCAGGTAACTTGGAGTCATGATCGGAATTCCTCCCTCATGGACTGGAGGGGGAGATTGTTGGTATATGGTCCAGCCCATGATCAATGTTCTAGATTATTCTAGTAAGCAAGAGAGATGGCTGGAGCATGCTAGACAATTCTAGCATGTTATTAAGTTGATGGAAGAAGCTAGAGAGTACTAGCTTCCTTGGTTGCAAATGGAAAGATCTAGAAGCCACACTTTTGTGGCTAGTCTAGATCTTTCTATGCTAGAGGTTTGAAGAATACACTAGAAACTAGTAGAATGCCAAACCCTCACCTATAAATATGGGTGTGATGTTGTAGTGAACCAACAACAAATCAAGAGAAGAGTGAGTAGCAAAGGATCAAGTCCAAAGCTAGAGTTCCACTCCAAGAGTGAGAGTGAGAGTGTTCCACTACACATTGTGTGAGTGAAGTTTAGAGTGATAGAAAGTGTGTGTTATACTTTCTTGTATCCATCAAGCCTTGTCTTTGGCTTGGTAAGACTACTCTTGTTGTATTCATCTTTTTCATATAGTGAAGATTGATCCTTGTTTGGTGGACGTAGGCATAAATTGCCGAACCACATAAATTCTTGGCGTCCATTTTCTACTTTACCTTGTGCATTCTCTATCTTGTAGTACCGACATTCCTAACAGCAACCACAATCGGGTTACATTTAACTCTATATACTGTCTCGTATCTCTTTTGCAGAGTGAGGACTGATATTGATAAACATTTCCTTTGTCTAGTAATCATGAATAATGATATTGTACATAACTTTTGCGTGAATCGCTTTGCTTAGATTATTGGTGTTCTTCATGGCAAGCTCTTTTAGACACTGATGGATAAATTTGAATTCCATTTAGTCTGTCTGAATGTGTGTCATTTTTTGCTCATATCGTGTCTGTGCTGCCTTTTTTCACTGATGATTAATTTCCATATTTATGAATGAAACTTTTTTATGTAAACATGTGAAAAACGCAAATAGGATCAGATCTCTACCAAATTGCTTCTTGTAGTTGTAGATGCGTTCTTGCACTAGACAAATGGTTTTGGTTTGCTTATTTGCTACTGGGAATCATGTCGACGAATACACTAGACAATTGCAATATGAGCCCTACACTTGGTAATTTATAACTCAAGTGAATACACAAGTAAATACAAGACATTATTACTAATGTAATCAGCTCATGGCTTATAGACTAACAAATGTTTGCGCTTGAATTCATCTATGAACTACTAGTTGGTGGTATACATCTACATGTTACTCTAATTTAGCAATTGCTTCTAACTCTAGGAGGCGCATTTTGGGGATGCATGCCTGTGATGTTTGTGTAGGACCTGCAGAAACAAAAGGATTAGGAGGCATTGTCAAGTTTTCTCCTCCTTCTAGCATCTGAACTACCGTTTTCATGGAAGGACGATCCACTGGGTGCCACTAGATGCACCAGAGCCCTACAATTGCAAGTTGCTTTGGAATCTTACCATCCCCTTCTCCCCCGATATGGATTCGTAGGTCATCTCCTTCCTCTAGAAGGTTATAAATCCATTATGGATAGTAAACTTCATTGGTCGTGTTCTCTGTGGTTGAACCAGCATTCTTCCTTCCTCCTATCATCTCAAGCAGCAGCATTCCAAAACTATAGACATTTGCCTTGTAAGACACATTTCCAAAATTCCTGGAAAATACTTCTGGTGCAATGTAGCCCATGATCCCCTTCGCTGTAGTCATTGACACTATGCTTTGATCCTTGGAACATAATTTGGCCAGACCAAAATCAGAGATTTTTGGTGTGAAGTTTTGGTTTAGCAAAATATTGTGGGGTTTGATATCGAAATGGAGGATTCGTAGTTCGCATCCCAGATGAAGATATTCTATTCCTTTGGCTATGCCGATAGCAATATCTTGCAACTTGTCCCAACCAAGGAAAGAGTTCCTTCTATCTACTGATGAAATATAATCCTGGAGCGAACCATTGGAAAAGAACTCATAAACCAGAGCTCGTCTAAATCCATCTGCACAAAAACCAACCAAGCGAACCACATTGACGTGGTGAATATGACCCATTGCTCCCACTTCATTTATGAACTCTTCCCCATCACGCTTAGAATTGTTAAGTACCTTCACAGCAACAAAGCATTCAGAAGAAAGTTTTCCTTTAAAAATAGTTCCGTAGGCTCCTTGGCCTAATTTGTACTTGAATTGATTTGTAATCCTCTTAATATCTGCATATGAATATCTGCTTGGCTTGAGAGCTTTGTGAGTGGAGCATGTAGGTTGAGGTAGTGTTCCCTTAATTTCCCGAGTGAGGAAAACTTCTCGGTTGGAGACTTGAAAATCCAAGTCACTGAGTGGGGTCGGCTATATGAATCTTAGAACGCCATTGTGCTCGGTCCTGTGTCATGTCCTCCGTTAGATCCAAGTACTTTAAGTCTTTTCTTAGAGTCTATTCCAAAGTTTTCCTAGGTCTTCCTTTACTCCTTCGGCCCTGAACCTCTATCCCGTAGTCGCATCTTCTAACCGGAGCGTCAGTAGGCCTTCTTTGCACATGTCCAAACCACCGTAATCGATTTTCTCTCAGCTTTTCTACAATTTCGGCTACTCCTACTTTACCTCGGATATCCTCATTCCTAATCTTATCATTTCTCGTGTGCCCACACATCCAACGAAGCATCCTCATCTTCGCTACACCCATTTTGTGTACGTGTTGATGCTTCACCGCCCAACATTCTGAGCCATACAGCATTGCCGGCCTTATTGCCATCCTATAAAATTTTCCATTGAGCTTCAGTGGCATACGGCGGTCACACAACACGCCGGATGCACTCTTCCACTTCATCCATCCAGCTTGTATTCTATGGTTGAGATCTCCATCTAATTCTCCATTCTTTTACAAGATAGATCCTAGGTAGCGAAAGCAGTCGCTCTTTGGTGTTTCCTGATCTCCGATCCTCACCCTTAACTCATTTTGGCCTCCATTTGCAGTGAACTTGCACTCCATATATTCTGTCTTTGATCGGCTTAGGCGAAGACCTTTAGATTCCAACACTTATCTTCAAAGGTTAAGCTTCACATTTACCCATTCCTAAGTTTCATCTATCAACACTATATCGTCTGCGAAAAGCATACACCAAGGAATATCATCTTGAATATGTCATGTTAACTCATCCATTACCAACGTAAAAAAGTAAGGACTTAAGGATGAGCCTTGACGTAATCCTACAGTTATGGGGAAGCTTTCGGTTTGTCCTTCATGAGTTCTTACGGTAGTCTTTGCTCATTCATACATATCCTTTATAGCTTGGATATATGCTACTCGTACTTATTTCTTCTCCAAAATCCTACAGAGAATGTCTCTTGGGACCTTATCATACGTTTTTTTTTTCCAAAGAGTAGAAATAGTAGAAGAAAAAAAAGTTTTAAATATATTAATTTAAAAAGCAACATATCGAAAAGGTTTAGTTCGAAGGTTCTTCCGGTGTGCAAGGAAGAATCTTATCAGAAGAAGGTTCTGGGTTGGTTTATCCTGAGGACGACTTGGTGCTTGTGAACTGCTTGCACACTTTGGGTAGAGCCGCGAAACGTCTTAAAGAGAGCGACTTAGTCCGCAACTCATCCCAAGAATCATTCACGACTTAAGGCTTCTACATTTTTCGGGTAACTTCGTTCCTTTCTATTTCAGTTTACAACAATTTTAAGACGGTATTCAATCTGCCATGCATTAGGAAGAAAATAAAATCATATTTTCTTCATTGTTTGTTTAAGAGTGTTGCTGCATGCGTTAGGTTTATTTTTACAAGTCATATGTTTCTCTGATGCGTTGCATGCATTAGAATAGACTTTGGTTTTGGCTGCTGCTGCATGTATTCGAATTAACATGCTTTTGGGTTTTGGTTTTTGCTGCCTTATGCATTGATATTTGTATTATACTTTCTATCGCTGCATGAAATATCATTGGAGCTCAAAAGTATGTTAGCATCCCCAAGTGCACAGAGAGCTACCTTCATTTGAGAAAAATCAGTAGTTTTATTGCTTAGTGTTTTTAAAGAGAGAGTTTATTTAATTTTTAATCACTGATTTTTCATGTTCTTTAATTTGATAACAATTTATGTTTTATATTTAATTTGATATCAATTATGAAAATGTGCCTTGTGATTTTTGTAATCGGTTGATTCTTTTAATCTTCGAAATAGTGGGGGTTCTAATTCTTCGAAAAATTATGAGCCTACTATCAGATACCTCTTTATGGGAGAAGAAACAAGATGGTTGAGAAACCTACTGTTAGATACGTACCCCTTTATGGGAGAAAATGATTCCAGTCATATACGATCTGAAGAAAATTTAGTTGATCCTTTCACGAAAGGACTAACATGAGAAAAAGTTTGGAAAAATCTTTTGACGAAAGGACTAACATGAGAAAAGGTTTGGAAAACCTCGAAAGGGATAGGACTAAAGGCCGTAGAAAATTGAGTCATTGGTGATAGCAACCCAACCTATAGGCTAGAGATCCCAAGAAATAGGTTCAAAGGGTAATAACAAGGCACAAGTGATATGAGTGAAGTCTTGCTAATTTTAATTTGGAATATTATTCCATGTCCATCCCTAAGAAGCATGACATCCTGAAGCGTTTTTAGGTTGAGATTTTTTCTCTTAATAAGGTCTATACTCTATGTTGAGTGGGATATTTAGCTACAGGAATATCCTTGATAGTCTTACCTATGTGAATGTGGAAGTGAGGCCGCTTCCTATGAAATCTTGGGCAAGTTTCTAGAGCGTTCACTATACTGGGATACAAGCATATGGCCGTAATGTGCTGGCTTTTTGAACTTCACCTTAATAAAGTTATGTGTGTGGTGTTGTTAGAGATAGAGTTCAAAACTATAAGTTACTCTAGTATAATCTGGATCACTAACACTATGTACACGTTCAAGTTGAGAAACACCTTTACTTATGCATAGCTTTATGATATGTTGCTTGATATATATTTTTTTAAATAAAAACAAGTGGGGGATTGTTGGAGCAAATATGTTTTTATTTAAATATTTAAATATATTTATGTTTTGTTTTACTACCAATATTATATACACAACGTTTTGCTTTATTACCAATATTGAAAGTCAATTGATTTTAGCTTAAGGAGTTATGCAATCAAACCGTTTTGTTTCTTGTTTGAATTTGAATTACGTTTTGATTTGATCTGCATCAATTGGTAAAGTTTGCACCACGTATTTTTTCATTTCAAAGTCTATAACTGAAATTTCTTAAAGCAATTTAAGAAGTAAATTAATGTGATGTTAATAACTCCTTTGATTGCAGATAGTTTTGCATTTGATTCCCTACGGCTTTGCTTTTGATTGCAACCGACCGTTTTGCACCCCATAAACTCTCTTTATATCCTTACGGTTTTACACCCCCCCCTAACATCTATTTCTTTATATATATAGATAAGGATACAAAAAGATATGTCAGTTAGGCGTAGAGTAGAAATAGTAGAAGAAAAAAAAAGTTTTAAATATATTAATTTAAAAAGCAACATATCAAAAAGGTTTAGTTCGAAGGTTCTTCCGGTGTGCAAGGAAGAATTTTATTAGAAGAAGGTTCTGGGCTGTTTTATCCTGGGGACGACGTGGTGTTTGTGAACTGCTTGCACACTTTGGGCAGAGCCGCGAAACGTTTTAAAGAGAGTGACTTAGTCCGTGACTCATCCCAAGAATCATTCACCACTTAAAGCTTCTACATTTTTCGGGTAACTTCGTTCCTTTCTATTTTAGTTTACAATAATAGGAAAACATGCTGAAAAAATACTTCGTGTTTCTTGCCACACTTTGGTGATAGAGGATGGATATAAGGATCCTTTCATAGTTCTGCCAACTCGAAAAAATTTGGTCAACGAGACAAAACAATTTCAGCTCTCTTTTGGAAACCAAAATACTGACTTTGGGAAAACAGACTTCATCTTCATGGACTACTACAAGATCAACTGCATTCGAACCCAACAATTGCCTTAGTCACACCGCAAACATCTGTTACCACTGCAGGAAAACAAATTTTAATTGAAGCGTCCCAAAGCCCATTTACGCCCTCCTTGCATCAACAACCCCAACCAACTACACCCACAAAGACTTCAAAGAGAGAGTTGTTTCCTGATCAAACAGAGAAATCTGACAGGTAAAGTAGACTTCTTGCTTAATCATCTCATGTGTAAATCTTGCAAACCATGCTTCTCTTAGGTATATGAATATGTTTTCCTACACATGAAAAAGCTTCACACCACTCTTTCACACTCTTTTGTCACTCTCACATTCATCTCTAACCTGTTAAATTTGTACCTTGACTCACAGCAAAAGACCTCACGATGACCAAACAGAGACAACCAATTTTGCCAGAATTGCTAGAGAAATCCACAATCTAGTTGTCCCCAAAATTGAACCAGCTGACAAAGTTCCGTTAGCTGCACTTAGAACAAAATCTCAAAGCAAAAAACCCAAAGATAGCTAACTTACAATTTATTTTTCACGCACACACCTATATAACAAACATTATAGTAGCGTTTCTTAAACTATGATTTATATTTTTTGCTATAGTGCGGAAGATGTCCACTCTAAAAAAAAGTGAGCAATGCAATCTCCGTAATCGACTGCTGCAAGCCGTTCTACATGTTTTCAGCTATCAACATTTTTGCTTCAACACCTGCATGTTCTTTGCTTTGCACGTTTGTGCTTGGAAACTTAGATGCTATAGAATGAGAACAAAACAGTCTTTATCTTTTTTGTCAACTACTCAAACATGTACCTAACCTAGAATATATGTATTTTACCACCTTGGCTACAAGGGCAACATGTCTGTGAACTATATGTTACTTCTGTTTCTTCTATATATTAGGGAACCAAAAGTTCCGTTTCTTCCTGTTAAATATACAATGCAGTTCAAGGTGATGCATTCAAAACCTCTCACGTACATGAAATTTTTCATTGTAACAGGAACACGAATGGTACACCACGTATTTTTATGTTAAGTGGTGGGAAATTTTATTTTTTAAGTTATTAATTTGTTAACACACATATTCCACCATTTATATGGTAACACGTGGTGTACCATCCTGTGTACCGGTCACATTGAAAAATCTTTCCTCACGTACGATGGTACGAGTGCAAGAAAATATCATTAAATCGTAAATCTATGTATTAGCATGTTGGACAAGCTCTTCATGAAACTAAACTTGTCATGTGTATCACATTTGATATTCTTGTCGTAAGTAGGACAATGGCCTTTAGATCATTCTTTTCATTCTTGTCCGAGACTCCCAACTATAAGCAAGTCAGGAATAATATTTTAGGTCAGTAAGGCAATCATGACCGGTAGTACTACTTTCTTACTTTAACTAGAATGTGTTCCAAACATATGTAAATGCTAAGATGTAGTTTCCTAGATAAGGGTGATATACTATGCTTGAAAGGCTATTTATTTAAATTATATTTTGTACATCACATGATGTGCCGGTTTATGGTTGAATTTTTTTTTAATAATTTAAATGAAAAATCTAACCATTAACCGTCACATAATGTAATTACAAAATATGGTCTGAAAAAAAAATGTACTCGTAGCATTTTCCCATAAATAAAGTATGCTACAGGCAACAACATGACCTTTAATTTTCCTTGATAGAGACGACAGCTTCTACCACATAAATCGTGTACCACATATATACCAACCTTTCCATGCAGATAAAGTCATGCTTCCATGCAGATAAAGTCATGCATCTATTACTGTCCTTTAACAAATTAACATCTCTTCTTCATCATCAAGCTTCTATTTTCTTGGAGCTAAAGTGATGCACTGCTGTGCCATATTATACGTATTATATAATGCATGCAAACTAGAAATATTGTATAGCATGACACAGCTCGCTAGGGCCAAAACACTTAAAACCACATTGAATTCCCTTGTTAATTAGTTTCGACAAGCACTTTAATAATGTCCCAAAAAGATGAAAATGTAGTTTCCATGAAGAAGGAGCTGTCCATGACGAAAGTTGCGAAAAGAGGAGGTGGACAAGCAAGCGGAGGAGACCAAGGCCAACCTGCAGAAATCACCACCACGGAGCAAACTTCAGAGGAGGCGATTACAATCCATGAGGAGGTAATAAGAACCAGTAGGGGGGAGAAACTAAAGAAAATGAGGGATGCATTGGCAGAAGCAGCTCAAAAGCAAAATGCCGAACCAAAGATCCAAAGGGTTCCCTTCATGCTCCGTGATCACAAAAATTTAGACAAGTACTACGAGCCAAGGGTGGTAGCACTCGGTCCTCGCCACCATGGTAAAGAAAAGTACAAGCAGGCAGAGAAAGTCAAGCTTCAATTGACAGAACACTTTATCAAAGATAGTGAGCAGACTAATAACGATGAAACGTTGCTCAAGAACGTTGAGGACAAGATTAAGGAGCTAAGGGAGTGCTATGATGACGAAGCAACAAAGGACCACGATGATGAGGCCCTCGCGTGGATGCTGTTCGTTGATGGGTGTTCGACGTTGGAATTCATGTACAAATATAAGGAGTTGGAAGCTTTTAAGATCAAGAGAGACCAAGTGGCATTTGTAGAACAGGACATGTTCCTGCTAGAAAACCAACTCCCCTATCAACTCCTCGAGTTGCTGATCAGCTCAAGCAACAAACGTGTGGACTTGGAAGCCTCAATCGAGGAATTTGTCAAGATGCATGGTGGAGCACCAGTAGTTCAAGGCCCTGCCGTGGAAAGAAAGCCAACTCATCTTCTTGACCTTCTTCGGACAAGAATGGTAGGACGTCCACCTAGCCTGAGTACAGAACCAGGATGTACTCATCATATTCTTGACCTTCGGCCAATGGTAGGACCTCGACCTAGCCAGAGTACAAAACCAGGATGTACTCATCGTCTTCTTGACCTTCTTCAGACAATGGTAGGACCTCGACCTAGCGCCTTGCTTCATTCTTTTCGCAACGTACAAGAGCTTCAGGCAGCCGGTATCCATTTTAGGCCTAGTGAGAAAAACTCATTGATGGACATATATTTTAAGCCTCTGTTTCTATGCTGTGGATTCCTTTATCTTCCCATAATAAAAGTTGACGACTCGATGGGGCCTAAGTTCATGAACATCATAGCCTACGAAATGTGTCCTGATTTCCAGAACGATTTTGTGGTCACCTCTTACATAGGCTTCCTCGATTCGCTCATTGATCATGCAGACGATGTGAAGCACTTGAGGAAAAAGGGCATAGTTCAAAACTTGCTTGGGAGTGATCAGGAGGTGGCTGAACTCTTCAACGAGATAAGCACTGACTTGGTCCCTAACGATGCGATTTACCGAAATGTTACAGCACAGATAGAATATCACTACAAAACCAAGTGGAAGACATGGATGGCTCAATTCTTTCATGACCATTTCAATAGTCCCTGGACTTTCTTGGGTTTCATTGGCGTTCTACTAGGACTTGGCTTGAGCGGTATGCAGACGTGGTATGCAGCCTTTTCCGATCCCTGTCCATGTGATGCCGTATGCAAGTACCTGAAAACACACCCCGGCTGAGAGATTCGAGTACATATCAACTGCCTGCTACCTCTGCAGTTTTTCACAAGTCATAGTTTCTCAACAGTCCTTTCTACTGTACGCAAGTGTGACGACTACAATAAGTGAATTATATTATTTTGTTGTTGTTGGAAATAAGTGATTTAAAATGTACGTGTGCGCGCTTTGTTCTTACTGTATTGACGGAAACTTTTTTCAGATTGTATTTTTGGAACTCTATTTCAATCTCACTTTTGCTATGTAAAACTTAAATTTCACCACCTAATCCCTTAGAATTCAACTTTCATATTCATTTGAGCCTTGTGCACTGGGTACAACTTTTATGTAAATAATTTTGTTAGTACTCTGACATGACGTTAGTGGGGTCGACTTACCTACTTGTATGTCTGCCACATCATTGCTAAGTCACTTAAAAACTATTAAAAAAGATGCTGACTTGGGCTACAGAGGTTCTTATTCCCCTTCTTTTCTCCACGCCACCACCATAGAACCCATAACACCCCATTGCAATGCATTTTCAGGGAACTTGTTTGATGGATAATCCTTTTCATTTTTTGAAATTATGTGATTTTGTTGATTTTCTAGTGACTTCTATTTTGGATATTTTTTATATGTCATTCAATATGAAATTTGAAAATTCAGGGAAGCTAGTTTGATTATCAAATCCTCTCTCTCTCTCTCTCTCTCTCTCTCTCTCTCTCTCTCTCTCTCTCTCTCTCTCTCTCTCTCTCTCTCTCTCTCCATGGGAATAAGGGGAAGCAGGTCCTTCACTTGGTCTGCTTGGCTATTGATTATGGCTTTTCTTGTCATTGGCTTATCCGGTGAAACTTGTAGAGCAAAGGATGATAGTACAAACTGTACCTTCTCCTGCGGCAATATTCACAACATAAGCTACCCTTTTCGACTACAAGATAGTCCAAAGCACTGCAGCCACGTTCCGTATACGCTGTCTTGTGAGAACGACAATTGCTCCTCCATGTCGAGAAACTTTCCGCTTGAGTCTGATACATTGAATTTACCATATGATTTGTATGGTAAATATCCAAGTGATTCACCGCTTTCAACAGTTGTATTTTACATGAAGTGTTCGAATCCAATGAATTCTTCTCTGTATGTGGACACTGCTCCATGCTTCGATGCAAGTGCTTCTTCTTCGAGCCAACCAAAAACGTATAGCTACGTCAAGGTCGGTTTGATGGAAGTAGGGGATTTGGATGAGGGTTGCAGTGCAGAGTGGATGACTTGGGCGCTCTCGAGCTACGTCAAAGACTACAACACCTCTTATGAAAACATACACAAGGCGCTCATGTATGGATTTGAGCTTCGAGTATATGGTGTTGATGAACTGGGTCCAATCTGCCCAGGCCAATGGAGGAGTAATCTTAAATGTTTTCCACACAGCATCCCAGGTGCGTGAATTCTCATAGAATATAAAGGCCATGGCTACTGATCACTATGTTTAACTCGTTTCCCCACGCATAATGTTACGTTGTCAAACTTATGTTTTTCAATAAATTAAATACTTGCATTGTCAAACTGTGCAATCCATCTAAACCAAACATTCAAATCAAGCGAAATGCTAAAGACATTCTCTTAAAAGTGAGACTTTTTATGAACTCTCCGCCACCTCCTCTTTGTAGCACAATTCTTGTGCTAACATTATACATTACATGAAATAAGGCTCCATTTTAGAAGCAACCCATACTCCTCTAGGATCCAATGAAATAAGGATCCACCATTCACTGCATACATTTAGAATCACATCTAACAGCGCTTTAAAGAAAAAACTAATCACAACAAAAGAAGCATCATACTCCCTCTTGAGATCAAACCACATAGTGCCCTCCTTTGTAACTGTGTTTAAAGACAACTGCATCTGAAATGAAAATGTCGGATCTTATCCAAGGAAAATTCCTTAATTTTAAAGTCGCCAAACAAACTTCAGCATCTGTCAAATAGTAGTGAATCCCATCATTCGTACATCTGGCTGCAGTATTTGTACATAAACCAAGCCAAGATGCGTAAAACCAGTGCCAGAAGACAATGAAGCAAAGAAGCGTAAACCAAAGACAAACTTTCAATGAAAACAGTGAAGGATAACAGATGAATAGCAAACCGAATGTGAGGATGGTTCCATAATGTAGACATACGAAAGAATCCAAGCTAAAAAAATCTGCACGTTAAACAATCATCAAGCAATACGAAACCAAATCATAAGCCAAGAACCCAAACCCCTTCAAAAAGCAGTATGCTCCCCTTCAACAAAGTTGAACCCAGACAAAAGTTGGGATGTCTCTGCATACAATAACCCCAACTCTGAGTTGTCAACATGCAAACATGGATCTAACGGATGACATGACACAAAACCGAGCGCAATGGCGTTCTAGGATTCATATAGCCGACCCCACTTAGTGGGAAAAGGCTTTGTTGTTGTTGTTGTTGTTGTTGTAATTTCAGAAAGCAATTAATTCACCCAAAAATGAAAACAAATACAATAACCCCAAAATTGAATACATGAACCAAAAGGCTGATCAGATCTTAGGGTTTCAAATCCAAAACTATTTCATCTAAGCACCCTAAATTATTATTCTAAATCCAAAATATTATTCAAAAAATGAAACTAAAATCATCAAAATTCACTAAAACAACAAAACCCAACAGATCACCAAGCTAGCTCATCAAAATTCCAAATATTTCATCTCTGATGTACAAATTTAACAGCTAAACATCATTCAAATCACAAATTCCAAACAAGCGGACAACTATTTAAGCCCAAAAACAATAAATTCAACAAAAAAAACATGAAAAATCTCAAGACTTACCGGAGAAACCAAGTAGCTTTGACATGGGTGCAACTCAAAAACCTCCGGGAGGCTGAAAGTGCAAAGCTTTCTGCCAAAAAACCCTCGAAAGAGAGAGACCCAGAAATGATTAAGGCTGCAACAACGATCAGTAAAGGTTGAAGGCACTGATGCATGAGAGGTTGGAGCTATACGGACATGGAAACCCTATCAGTTAGGGCAAGAAAGGAGAGATGGAGGAGAGGGAAAGAGCGGAGCGAGGCAGCTGAAAGAGTGATTCTGGGACCTTGGACTCGGGTAGAAACGAGGGTAGAAACTAACGGTTGAGATTGGATGATAGGTTATCATTCAATCTCAGCCGTTCATTATAATTAGAAACGGATTAGTCTGGGTACCCGTTTTTCTATGTATCTGGACTTGGCCTGCCCCACAAATTAATGATATCGGCCTTTCCAGGGCCGCGGTTTCTCTACCCGTTTGCCCACTTCTAGGGAGAACAAATTGGGTATCTGACTTCACTCATTAGTTTTAAATTTTTGTCTCTAAACACACATACACACACACAAATGGAACTACGTAGAAATATCGATCAACAGGCACAAAGGCAATGTTTGATTTAAAAATGCAGACAAACACATGACTTGGGAGTGCACAATGACAACATAAAAACAACCTTTACAATTTAAAAAAATCTTTTCCAACTTTGTATGCTGAATTGCTAACGTTGTGTTCGTCTCGAGGAATTTCTGATGGGGAGGTTTCCTGGTCAACGAGCACACAGCTCCCTGAGAGGTTGGCACAAGTTGATATTGTTTGTCGGGCTTCTACTTATTGGCGGGCTGTAAGAGAAGGACAGAGTAAATCCTGAAAAGTGCCTTTGTGGGGGCCTTAGATGTAGGCCTTGAGGCTCACAATCAAAATTAACTTTAGGTATTCAGGCGTGCCACTGCCATCTTTAGCATGACAGATGTAAAACAGATGTTTAGTTTAATCGTATATGCCCGAGAGACCAAGTTAGCTATGAAAGGTGCCTTTGTAGGGCCTTAGGTGTAGGTCTTGAGGCTCACAATCAAAACTAACCTAGTACTTGAACATATAGTGGTTGTTTCATTGTTGCAGAAGTTTTACAACTGTTATACTTTAATCACCCGAGCCTGCAGAGCAGAACAAACCCAGATAGGTGCCTTGGTAGGGCCTTAAATATAAGCCTTGAGGCTTCCTATCAGAATTAATTCTATACTCAAGCGTTCTATGGCATCATAATATAACAAGAGTAAAACTAAGAAATCGGCTGATTACTTGCGCCCCAAGTAACTTCGGACTTCTTGTTATCAAGGATTGTCATGGATGGGTTAACCACATAAAGTTCTTTTTTTTTTATGCCTTAAGACCAAGGACTTTTGGTTGATCAATCTTATATGCCTGAAAGGTTAGAACTTATATCTAGTCAAGCATGATTGGGCACCATTAAACCGGCCAGATCCAAGAACCAAGAAGTCTTTTAATCATAAACTTGCTAGAAATAACTTGGATACAGATGGAAGTATACATTATATTATGAGTTTTATGAATGGAAAGACAGGACAAAGAGGGTTGGCAAGGTTTCACCTTGTCGGGTAAGGCTGATTGTCTTGCAACTTCCTCTCTTTCTGATTTACATAGGGTTTGAGTGCTAGAAAGGGAGATTGGGAGATGAGTTTATAGGAGGGAATCGATACTACAGCGAGATTCAGACAAGGTAGCAGAGCTTTTACAATGACTTCTGTTGAAGGTTGATCCTGAAAATGATGAAGACTTGGTGCTGACTACAGCTTCGTATGCAAATCTAGCTTGAGCAGAGTTTGTGTATTTGTTTGTTTGATTGAGTGTCCCTATCTCTGATTTCTCCTTCCTCTTTTATAGACGATTTGGCTTGGCTGCTTGCAACATCAATCTTGCCCGAATGCAGCTGAAGGGTAGTAACTCATCAGCTTTTTACTTGTACTGCAATTATGAAGTACTTTTGGGCTGATTAGCTGGCTGGTCTATAGCACTTGACCTCTAGGTAGGTGAGCAAGTGGCTTAAGTGATTTGCACTTAGTCGGAAAAAGGGCCTCTTCTGCCTTCTGGGCTTCGACTGAGCCTCGGGCTTCTTTCCTTCTAGACCTTTTTTTGGGCTAACTTCCTTTTGATCCCAAAGTTAAAGTTTTAACCCAAATAGTGCCCCCTTCAATTAATATTTAGGCTGGAATTCCAGGCGCCAATATTGACTGAATAGTCGCCTGCGCATGTGACGCCTGTTTGAGGAACTTGTGTCTTCTAGACGGGTTTATTGCGATCACGCGTCTCTTGCTCTTCATATGACCTTTGAGCTATCCTCTGATGTTCTTATAAATTCCGGCTCAAATCTTCATTTTTGAACAAATAACTTAAGCCAAAAGCTTCTTATGCCCAGCCAACAGATCATCTTCAACCTTCCACTTTATCACCCTCGGGCGTTTCTACCTTCTAAGTTTTCTTCTAAAACTAGGGAAATGGGTTCCTCATAATTCACGTGGAGTTTCCTAAAACTCCCTTTTCGAGAGAAAAAAGATTTTCATCAAGTAACTACCATCTCCAACACCTTTGGTCAAACACCCCGCTATCCCCAACACCTTTAGTGAGGCGGTTTCCTCGTTCTGAGCTTTGAACTTTTACAAGTTTGGTCGAAGGATCACCATTCTGGTAGTTGCCCCGATAAGTCAGACTTTACCATCATACCCGGTGAAGGTTCGCATTGAGGGTCATTTACCAAGCTCATCTTGGCCTCACAACCCGATCACCTAATCGGGTTTTGTCCATGAAGACATCAAAAAACTGGTCGAGACATCACTGCAACTAGAAGGAACTGAGCATATCACATTGGAGCTGAATCTGATGTAAATTTCACGAATTTTTCGAAATGAATAAAACATCATTTTAACAACTTTTATCTTTCTGTTTTCTTGAATGGTCGATGAACGAACACTGCACTCTGGCACCCCGAAGCCTACTTTATCTTACATCTTCTTCAATATAACAATCCCTAACATCCCATAATGTAGGACAATACTTTTTTAAGAATTTGACATTGATGGGATGTTTCTGCCAATTTCCTTCGATATCCGCCAAGTAGTATCCTTCTTTGTCTGATACTTGACTAACAATGAAAGGACCTTCCCATGTTGGGCTCCATTTCCCAAAGCCCCTCAGCTGAGCTCTTAAAGGGATGACTGTTTTCCATACTAAATCTCCTTCCTTGAAAGACTTCAGCTTTACCTTCCTTGTATTTGTTTGCAAACTCTTCAACTTCTTTTGATATAAAAGATGACCCGCGATTCGTGACTATGGTTTCGGGCACCCCAAACCTGTGCAGAATCTTGGTCTCAATAAATTTCTTGACTGCAGGTGAGGTTATGGTCTTTACGGCCGAAGCTTCTACCTATTTGGTGAAGTAATCCGTTGCCACAATTATGAAAGTATGCCCTTTGCTAGAAGCTGGATAAATCTGCCCGATGAAGTCCATTGCCCATCCTCTGAAGGGCCAAGGCTTGACCATTGGATTTAAAGGTACTGAAGGCACATGTTGAAGGGGTCCATGCCTTTGACATTCTTCACAGCCTCGGGGATAAGACTTGCAATCTTTTTCTACGTCGGGCCAGAAATACCCATACCTCCTAAGCAACCATCTCATCTTCGTTCTAGCTTGATGTGCCCCGCATATTCCTTCATGTACTTCGGCCATTACTCTCATAGATTCCTCTTGGCCTAGGAATTTCAACAGTAGTCCATCTGGAGTTTTCCTTAGTAGGCTCCCCACCCATAAGACATACTTGGTTGCTTGCTGTCTATTATTCTTGCTTGTGGGTGAAGAAGGATCTTTCAAATAATGAATGATAGGCGATCTTCAGTCTTCCATTTCTCTTTCTGGAACCATTATATCTAAACTGAATCCCCTTTCTAGGATAGAAGGAAGATTTCTTCTTTTAATCTCAACATCTACTCCATATTTCCTTTCCTGGATTGGTACTCCTGAGGCTACTTATGCCATCTCGTTGGCCGCCAGATTTAATCCCCTGGGGACATAATTAACTGATATCTCAGAATCCCAATAGCTCAATAATTGCGTGGCCGCCAAGTAATACCCAGCCATGGTGATATGTTTGCACTTGTATTCTCCATTTAGCTGATTTATTACTAACTTTGAATCACTAAACACATCTACCTCCATTGCCCCCAGCTCTATCAAGATTTCCAAACCAATTATCAAGGCTTCATACTCTACTTGATTGTTGGTGTTCCCTTGGTAATTTAGGAGGAACGAGTAATAATGGTGAACGCCTTGGGGATTTATGATGACAATCCCAGCTCCAGAAGCCTTCTGAGTGCAAGAACCATCAAAATACAGCTTCCAATGAGTAATCCATAGGCCATTTACTCTTTTTATTTCTTGTTGTACCCACTCTTTTTTGCCCGAGATGTTCTTGCCTGGTGTGATCCAAATGCTAGTCACTTCCAGGGTCCCCGGTATATTGACAATCTCATCTTGAGACTCTTGATGCTCTGTCAAGAAGTCGGTAATTGATTGGCCCTTGACCGCCCTTTGGGGTTCATATTGCAAGCTAAACTCTGATAATGCAAGAATCCACTTCCCAATCCTTCCTGTTAGCATTAGTTTTGACAACATATACTTTATCACATCTATTTTGGCGATGATGTGCATGTGACAAGGTAACATGTAATGCCTCAACTTACTAGCAGTGAAATACATAGCTAGGCACAATCTTTCTATTGGGGAGTATATTGTTTATACACAGTCAGAATTCTACTGTGGTAGTACACCGCCTGCTCCTTCCCGCCTTCATTGTTTTGGGCTAGTAAACTCCCAATTGATTTCTCTGAAGTAGAAATATTTAGCTTTAAGGGTTTTCCCCTTTGAGGTGGTACTAACACTGGTGGAGAAGTCAAATAGGCTTTGATGCTGTCGAAAGCCTTTTGGTGTGGTGGTCCCCACTCAAAATTTTCTTTATCCTTCAGTCTCAGCAGAGGAGTCAGCGGCTGGATCTTGCCCGCTAAATTGGCAATGAATTTCCTTACGAAATTAATTTTGCCTAGCAGTCTCTGAAGTTGCACCTTGTTGTTGGGCAAAGGCGACTCCATTATTGCCCGAAACTTGCTCTTGTCCACTTCTACACCTCTTTGATGAACCAGGAATCCCAAGAAGTTGCCCGCTCTCACTCCAAACGCGCACTTCTTTGGATTCATCTTTAGCTTATGGATCCTCATCCTT